TGATGCTGCGTTCAGGACAAGCATGGAAAACTCACCACTCTTATGCCAATACGGTCTCAATGATGCATTTAGGTACCGAAATGGAATTGCATGAACATTCACCTGGTGGTTATGTAATTCAGCGAATCGATAGTAAAAAATCTGCGTCAACAAATTTACATAATCGACGTCATCGATTATTTCAACTAATCGGTGCAGCCCTAGACTGAACGAACGTCGACATCTTTTTATCAACTCTGTGGGTAACAATACATAAAAAACAAGTATTTTTTCAGACAACTTGGGTGTGAAAAAACTTTGGTTGTTAAAGTGCTGCTCGACATGCAGCGGGAGGGAGGGAGGGAGAGATTATGATCCTGTGACACGACGTAACTTTTCTGCAGCGGGAGGGGGAATTTTGAGGATTTGTTTTCTCTATACGTGTTTTAAAACGCTAGAATTTCTTCATTATATTTCAAACTCCTGCTCAGCTGTCTCTGCACTCGCAGCCATGTTGACACAGGTGCGAAGACGTAATGACGACAGGACGGTGAAGGGTAAATTTCTACCGTGGGCCAACTTCATACCGTTTCTACCATCTACCGCATATACCGCGCAGCCCTAAGCTGATCCCAACCGGTGGTTTTTGCTCCCCTGCCTGGCTGCCTCAGGACACTACAGGATTTCTCAAACATGCATGAATGAGTCAAAGCAAGACTCTGGGCATGTTTTTGATGAGGGGATAACATTATAACATGATATAAAACTCAAAAAAGTTTATTTTAAATGACTAAGTGAATTTGCAACACAGTTGAAACAATTTTCATTATTTAAGAGCAGATTGAATCGTGATTAATCAATTCAGAACCTTATGAATCCAAATCAAATTGATTTAAAGAATTGGCCATGATACCCAGACCTACAAAAGCTTTGTAGCTTCACTGCTCATTGAGGATCGGTGCTATTTTAGCACATGCTCCATGGGCGACGTCCACTCCAAGTAAACAAATGTTATCCTGGCAGTAGGGCTTGGCGATATGGCCTAAATTCAATATCACGATATATTGACCAGTTCAGCTCGATAACGATAAATGCATGATAACTCTTACCACCCACCACGCACACACAAGTACACATGTAGTATAGTCATAATAATACTATACACTGTGTCCATGTTCTTAGTCAAAGATCACAGTTTAGATTTTTAACAGCTTTTCTATAGTTTATTTTTGTCATTTTAATGTTTTTAATATATTTAATAAACATTTTTGGCAAGACTTGAGTCAAATATAGTCATTCAATTATTTATCCATCTCCACAACTTTTCAGTGCAAACATTTTGTATGTATGTACTATAACTTTATATTTTTAAAAATATACCAGATATGACTTTTGTACTTCACAGAATAACTTTACATGATATATGTTAGACTGGCTGATTTATCTATTAATATAACTATTTCTTTCAAAAAGATTATATTATTTAGAGAGCTCATGTAATCATTTAATACTATTTATTCTACATATTTGACCATTTATTGAATCACAGAGCAGTTCAGACACAGTATGGTTCTAAATATAAGATAAACTACAAAAAATAAACTACAAAAAGAACATAACATTTTTTTGTTTGTTTTTGCGGGGTGTGGGGGTGGGGGGTGCCTAATGCTAAGGGGATTCTCGTCTTTTCTATACTGGGGCAAAGTGTTCATCTGAGTGAATATTTTGGAAGAACAGCAGCTCTCACAGAACTCAGCCTGTGTGCACCTCGGCGCGCTCCTGTAACAGCGCTGTCGAGGAGAGGAGTTTGGTCACGCGAGCAAAGTTGGACACATCTGTTAGAAAACGAAGCTCTGAACACATAAACTTGTGTGTTAGATTTTAGATACCAACGTCTCTGGTAGCTCAGGAGAGAAGTGTGGAGGACGGGGTTTGCTCGCTCAGGACAGGAGCTGCAGGCTGACCGGTGTTTATCCTGCAGACTGCTGCACCGAGTCGACATTAGAAAGACCCGCCCTGCTCTGCTCTGATTGGATAAAGCTGTGGGGTGCATCTGTGGGGTGCGTTTTATTTGTTGAAAGCAGTGTCTGTTTAAACTTGTATCAGACTGGGCTGCCCAGTTTTGTTACGGTCTTGCAACAGAAAACAAGCAGGCTCTCCGTCATGTGCCGAATGACGTCAGTCATGAAATTAGCATACCATGATATTATTTATTTTACCGGGCAAGTTTTTTTTACCGATATTATCATGAACGATATGATATGGCCCAGCCCTTCCTGGCAGCCCACCAGCCTAATAATACACTAGGGGAAACCCTGACGTATATAAACATATACTCTGCATGTGACACTGTAACGGTTAGTTTCTGTACCTGCAGCAGGCCCTCCTGCTGGGTGGCGACCGGCAGGTCTTCGATACAAAGATGCCTCTTCTCGGTGCTGCGGCGGACGCTGAGGTGGCAGCCAGGCTCCAGCTTGTAGCCGTGCAGCAGGCGGATGGCGTTAGCTGCTACGGCTGCTGTGCTGTATTTCGCATAGGCAAAGCCCCTGTTCTGACCGCTGAAATTCATCATTAGCCGGAACTCCCACAGGGGCCCCACCGAGCTGAAGAGAGGGATCAGAATGTCCTCATAGGTGTCCCGTGGGATCTGGCTGATGAAGATCTCACAGTGAGGTCCTGGGACGGGACCAACCCACACTGCCCACGAAAGAAAAAAGAGCAGGAAGTTATTTCCTGCTGACCTGGATGATAGTCAGACTGGATTACAGAAACATTTGTTGGTCCTTATTCAGACACTTCATTTCTCCTGGAAAGTTAAAAACAACATGTCTGTATGCAGGCTCCCTGATGGATCAAACACTTCACCTGAAAATGGACTAACATGGTACAGATCTAAATATCAGTGCACAGTGAATGGTTTTAACTTGTACTAATCTTTCTAATACTAACCTTAACCTGTTAAAATGAAGAAGTTAGCCTTACTGATGATTTGTAAGTATAATTTTTGAACTCAGGGTATCTGAGTCAGAAACATGTATTTGTCGTCTATGAATTGTTCTCAGCTAAATTCCACAATTAATTGTCATCAATATCAACAAGTCCTTGTGTTCAGTTCTTGTGTATTCATCCAGACTGCTGGTGCCAGGTCTACATCCATCCCAGTCCTGGGGTCGGATTTATAACGCTTGCATATGCACAAAACGAGTCTAGAAACTTGCGTACACCACTTTTCACGCCAAGGTTGTGATTTATAAAATCCAAACTTGACGTGAAAATGTGCGGTCCCTCAGCCAGCTCTGACCCATGCTACGCTCATTTTAGAGATGTGAAACTGCGCCACAGATGGTGAAGTGATGAATTAGAGCAACACTGTGTAATGATCACTGTCAGAGATTTAATTTCACTTCAGAATCAGACTTTTTATTCAACTTTATCATCAGCTTTCTTAACAGTATTATTTTTGCTTCTGCTGCTGAGCCATAACAGGGGTAGACATAACCATTGTTTAGGTTGTCCGAGACAACTTGTTTTCATTTTGGACAACCAGATCCTGTCTCCTGGTTGTCCGGTGGACAACCAAGAAAAAAAGACCTTGATTAAAGTTCTTGGCAGCGGGTGTTCTTCATTTGTAAAACTGAAAGAGAGAAAAAACCTGGTAAAGCTGAACAGAACACTAAACTGTAACTTTTAATAACGTCATGTCTGATCATGTAGATCCTTCACTGCCTCACTGCTCCTTGTCTCCACCTTCTCTCGCCTGATGTTTGATGAACTCTTTGAGGAGTTCACCAAGGACCAAAAGCAGAGTCTGGGTTGATCAGTACCTGGTCAGCAGGTGCATGCTGACGAGCCCCCTGAAACCCCAGCGTGAATGGATCATGACAGACGGCAGAAAAAAGCCAAAGAAACTAAAACCATTCAAACTGAACTTGTAGGTGAAGTTTGTCATGTTCTGATTTCATCATTTGTCACATTCTGAATCATCATAGATGAAAACCCAGGAGAGGTCAACAGAGAAATATAATAAAAAAAGCCCAGACAGTAGGGTTGGGCAATATTGGTAAAAAAAAATTAATCATGATAAATTAGAGTATTTAGCCGATAACGATTAATTTGACGATTAATCCCTTGGAGTCCTTGGACGCCATTATGTCCTGGTCACATGACCAATTTAGTGGGAAAGATTTGCTCTTCATAAAAATCTGTTCCAAATTGTGTCAAAATTACAAACTTCAGGCTATACATCAAAATTTTAATTTTATTGATTGATAAATAAATTACAGAACTTTTTTTTTAATGTTGGTCATATTTGAAGCAGTGAGGAGCACCGAGCGGACTGACTGGAGCAATCTCCAGTCAATCTGGTGACATTAATCGTATCAATAGTCAAGTGCCAAAAAATAATCGATTAATGTTTTTCTGACGATTAATTGCACAGAATACGATTATGCCCAACCCTACCAGACAGGAAGTGTAGAAACAAAAACTCAATAGAAGTAGGAAAACAAACAGTTAAAAACAGTCAGGCCCCTCTATACCCAAGGGCCCCTGGGCAAGTGCCCAGATTACCCATCTTGTAGATCCAGCTCAGCTCTTACCATGGTCATTTCATGCTTTTATCAAGAAAACTCTTTGCGCCGATAAAATTTTGTAGTCATTTCCTCGTCTGCAGCACTAGGTCACGAGTGAAAAATAAATAAATAAAAATCACAGAAAGTTAAGAAGGAGTCCCACTCTTTGCTTGAATTAAGAAAACTGCAGCTGGTTGGTCTGTGAAGCTCTCTGTCAGCGCTACAGTCAGCGAGCAGCTTGGATTATACTTCAATAAGACGTGAGACAGAGGTTACGTCATTCTGGACGTATTTTTCCTGAGCGGGTGTAAACAAGCTGAAGACGCGGCGGGCCGTAAGTTATCGTAGATCCTCCCTCTGCCCTCCCACAACTCATACATAAACAGCAACAATGATGGCTGGATATTGTGTTTTTTATCACTGAATCATCAGTTTTGTTGGGTGAAGAGTACGCAGAGGAAAAACTTTTTTATGTTAACAGTGGTGATGGAAAACAGATGTGAAAATCAGCTGCATCAAACCAGCTGCTCTTCTAGCTCTTTAAACACCTCCTTACACAGCTCTTTGGTCTTCACCATAGTGGAGTTTGGAGTGTGACTGTTTGAGGTTATGAACAGGTGTATTTTATACTGATAACAAGTTCAAACAGGTGCATTACTGCAGGTAATGAGTGGAGGAGGACAGAGGAGCCTCTTACAGAAGAAGTTACAGATCTGTGAGAGACAGAAATGTTGCCTGTTTGTTATTGACCAAATAGGGTTGGGCTCAGGGGTGGAAATTAATAATTTTCCCCACCAGCCACAGTGGCTTGTAGAAAAAGTTTTGTACCGGCAACTCAAACTTTTTACCAGCCACTATTTTTTGTTTCTGTAACATGGTGGCATTTAGACAATTCATGGTCCTGGTGGCCTAATTATATTGTTTGTGCTACAATCAGATAATGGCACTCAAAATCTATTAGTGTCTTAGTATTCAAGCCAGCCTGTTTGACAAAATTAAAACGATGGACTTTTTGATGTCTCTAATTCTCTTACTAACTTGCTTTTTGCTGGTATGTAGGTGGATTACCAATTATTTTTATGTAGGTTACTTGGCTGGAAAAAAAAGCTTTTTAACCTTAATAATATAGGTGCCTCTCCTTGGGCTGCTACCTTATCGTGGTGGAGGGGTTTGAGTGTCCCAATGATCCTAGGAGCTATGCTGTCTGGGGCTTTATGCCCCTGGTAGGGTCACCCATGGCAGACAGGTCCTAGGTGAGGAACCAGACAAAGCGCAGCCCGATGACCCCTTATGACGGACG